TACTGCACCATGCTGCTTGCCCTTCTGCCCCCATCAGCCACTTCTAGCTTGGCCCCATCCCTTTCCAGGCTCCCAACCGCTGATTGGCTAGTGCTCCTACGGCAGTGTGCCACCATTGGCCAAAGTCAGCTACTTATCATGCTTGGGGGTGGAGCCCCAAGAAAATGTGCTGCTGAAGTAGGAGAGAAGACCTTTCTGTCAGCAGCTCCACCCTAGGGAGAGTGAGGTGCCCCGAGCGGTGGTAGTGAAGTGGAGCTGTATTTCCACCTCAGAGTGTAGCTGGTGTTCAGGCCATTTTGGGGCACTCTGTCTGTGGTCTTTGCTTGCCACTACCTCAGCACATCTACACAACTAGATTGGGGCCTACCAGGCAACCTCCCATGGTCCCTTCTCTGTCCCCATGCATGAATTCGTGCACCAGGCCTCTAGTTTTGTATAATATCAATAGAGTCACTCCTGCTTACATTTGATTACAATTTGTGTGGACATCTTTTTCATCCATTTACTTTTTTACCTATACATTTCCTTATATAAAAAGTGAGTCTCTTGTAAAAAGAAAGAGTCTCTTCTGCCAAGGTATGCCTTTTGATAGGGGAGGTTAATCCATTTACATTTAAAGAAATTATTTAGAAGGACTTATATTGCCATTTTTTTTATTTCTATTCACATGTCATACCTGTTTTGTATTTTAGTCCTCTCTTCTTGCTTTCATTGGGTTTAGTTTATTTTTATTTGTGATAAGCTTTGGTTCCTTTCTTAATATATTTTTCATGTATTCCATAATTATTTCTTTTGTGGTTACCATGAGGATTACATATAACATCCTAAAAGTTTACCAATATATTTTAAATTAGTATCAACTTAATTTAATTGCATGAAATCATTCTATTCTTACAGCTCTGCCTTCTCCCCTTCTTTATGTTATTGACACCACAAATTAAGTTTTTATATATTGTGTAACCATTTGCATGCTTTTATAATTATTTTCATGTTTTTGTTTTTTAAGACCTTGGAAGAATAAAAAATGTAAATGCAAACCCAAATTAACTAGTTCATTTTATATTTGTCTATGTATTTATCTTTAGCAGAGAAATGTATTGTATTTGTATGACTTTGAGTTAATGTCTAATATTTGTATATTACAACTTAAAGGACTTCTTTTAGAATATCTTGTATGACAGATCTACTAGTAATGAACTCTTTTGACTATTGTTCACCTGGGAATGCTTTAATTTTCCCTCCTTTTTTGAAGGACAGATTGCTGGTTATAGAATTCTCAGTTGACAGAATTTTTCTTTCAGGAATTTAAATATATATATTATCCCATTGCCTTCTGCCCTCCGATGATAAATTTGCTAATTATCTTTTTTAAATTTAATTATATATTTTATTATTATTTAAAGTATTACATATGTTTCTTTTTTCCTCCATTGGCCCTTTCTAGTCCCCCCTGCCACAGGCCTTCAGCACACTATTGTCTGTGTTCATGGGTTATATATATATATGCATACAAGTTCCTTGGATGATCTCTTCCCACCCACTTACTCTCCACCACCTTCCAGCTGAGATTCCAGTCTGTTCTATGCTTCTATGTCTCTAGATCTATTTTGTTCATCAGTTTATTTTGTTCATTATATTCCACATATAAGTAAGATCATGAGATACTTGTCTTTCTCTGACTGGCTTATTTTACTTAGCATAACACTCTGTAGGTCCCTCCATGTGGTTAAAAGGGTAACATATCCTTTTTTACTGCTGGATAGTATTCCATGGTGTAAATGTGCCATGGCTTTTTTACCCACTTATCTGCAGAAGGGCACTTGGACTGTTTCCAGATTTTAGCTATTATAAATTTTTCTGCTATGATCATAGGGGTGCATACGTTCTTTCTGATTGGTGTTTTGGGTTTCTTAGTATATATTCTTAGAAGTGGGATCACTGGGTCAAATGGCAGTTTCATTTTTAATATTTTGAAGAAACTCCAGACTGTTTTCCATAGTGGCTGCACCAGTCTACATTTCTACATGCAATATACTAGGGCTCCCTTTTCTCTACATCCTCACCAGCACGTCATTTGTTGATTTATCGATGATAGCCATTCTGACAGTTGTGAGGTGTTTTTTAATTTGCATCTCTCTGATGATTAGTGACTTTGAACATTTTTTTCATATTCCTCTTGGCCATCTGTATGTCCACTTTGGAGAAGTGTCTTTTTACATTCTTCACCCATTTTTTAATTGGATTATTTGTCTTCCTTTTGTTAAGTTGTCTGAGTTTCTTATATATTTTGGAAATTAACCCCTTATCAGATATATCATTGGTAAATATGTTCTCCCATGCAGTGGGCTTTTTTGTTGTTTTGTTGATGGTTTCTTTTGCTGTGCAGAAGCTTTTTACTTTGATGTTGTCCCATTTGTTTATTTTCTCCTTAGTTTTCTTTGCCCTAGATCAGTGGTCTGCAAACTGCTGCCCCTTGAGTGTGGCTCTCCCACAAAATACCACGTGCGGGTGTGCACGTACAGTGCGATTGAAACTTCGTGGCCACACTCAAGGGGTCAAAGAGCCACATGTGGCTAGTGAGCCGGAGTTTGCCGACCACTGCCCTAGATGTACTCCCAAACATATTGCTATGAGAGATGTCTGAGATTTTGCTGCCTGTAGTTTCTTCTAAAATTTTTATGGTTTCACATCTTACATTTAACTCTTTTATTCATTTTGAGTTTATTCTTGTGTATGGTATAAGTTCGTGATCTAGTTTCATTTTTTGCATGTATCTGTCCAACTTTCCCAACACCATTTCTCTTAGTGGAGAAATAAGTTTATAACTATTTCCCTTCACTTCAG